TGGCATCTAGGTTAGAAGAGGTCTTTCTTTTATTTTTTTCCCATGGAACCCAGATCTTCTCCTTTCTGGCACTTACCACAGATTTTTTAATTACCTATTTTATTTGTTTACCTGACCAACACCTATCTCTCTCCTGAGGACAGGACTGTGTCTATGGTTGCTGTGCATAGCATAGCGCCTGTGGCATGAGACTCTCATTATACATTTGGTGACAGGACCCACAAATGAATTTCCTCCCACCCACTCTCCCCAGTTCATAAGCCCTGACAATGCAGGGTCACCTCAAAACAAATAGGGCAAGGCAGGACAACTTGTCATCACTTCCATAGGAACATCCATCATCTGCTGGGCCTTGAACTCTGGCTGTCAGAAGATTCCACTCAGACCATGGCTGTCTCAGGAAAGGGTGCAGTGAATCTCACACACGTCAGGCTCTGCCCCATTTGGGGTGGTGGAGATACACAGGTATAAATTAACACGATTCTAAGACACAGTCCCTCCTGTTTGGTGGGTCAGTGTCTGTATTTCCCATTGACCCTCCCCTGACAAATTTAAGATAAGATTGATTTTGTCTGTTTCTTCTTCTTCAAATTAACAAAATTTACCCTCAATTTGCTTAAAAGGAGGGAAGAAAGCCTGTTTCTAATTTGTTCTGATCCATTTATTAAATGTAATCATATAGTAAAAAAAAATTCAGAGATGTTAAAAACAGCAGGAAAATATTAAACTTTCAGTGTACAAAGCTTGAATCATAAAATATGTTTCATGGGGCTCTTACTGAAATGGGACACAACCTTAATGACATTCACAATTACTTGCTAAGAGACTCGATGTAACCCAGAAGGCAGAGATAGAGTAACACATCTACCCAGTGTGCTCTTTCTTCACGGAGACCAGACTCTGGGCTGCATCACCCCCTGAGGATTTGGTTGGCTTTGGGAGCGTGGAGTTTAGAGTTCCCTCTGTCTATTCTACATTTCTTTTTTTAATTTAGAGTGAAATAAGCTAATGGAAAATATTATTCACTTTTGGGGGGATGAAACCTGCTTCTTCCCTCACGTCCCTCTTTTTTCTCATCTGCTGCCCTACCCCAACCCAAAATGTATAAGCAAATGTCCATCCTTAGGAGTCTAGTGTGGAAAAAAGAAAATTTATGGGACTACCATTTCATTTCCCAAGGTGCTGTTGAGCACTTTGTAATAATGGCTTAGAGAAGGATTTCCCTAGACCCCAGAGGATTTACTCATGTTAGAGAAGCAGTTCACATTGATTTATCTCCATGTATGTGTGCATCCGCACACCCGTGCCCTGTATTAGTCTGCTCAGACTGCCATAACAAAGTACCTTAAAAACCAGAAATTTATTTTCTCACAGTTCTGGAGGCCAGAAGTCCAACATCAGGGTGTTGGCAGGGTCGGTTTCTTCTGAGGCTTCTCTCTTTGGTTTGTAGATGATCGTCTTCTCCTCCCTGTGTCTTTACGTGGTCTTCCTTCTTTGTGTGTCTGCGCACCAGTGTCCTCTGCTTAGAAAGACACCTGGAAATGCTATAAAAAAATAAACTGAGGTAAAGAGATGGAGAGAGAGGGTGGCAGGTGGGGCAGCTATTTTAGACATAAGGACCAAGGATGGCCTCCCTGCAGTGGGAACTTCGGACCAGAGACAGAAATGAGGGGGGGCATTGCTCCAGACAGGGGGAAGAGCATTGCAAAACCCCAGGCGAGTGGGCAAAGAGCAGAGTAAGGAAACCTCAGTGACCCTCAACTTTCTCATCCCCAAACAGGGGTGCTGAGATGTTGTGAAGGGTGGAAATGAAATATCGGATGTAACACATAACATAGAATTGGTCCTCAGTAATGACCATGACTGTCTCTCTTCTCGGCACATCCTGTAGTGCTGGTTTATAAAGCCTTGGGAAGGTAACAAATGCTGGGTTGTGACCTGATATGGAAAGTGTCTCGGGCTGCAGAGCTCAGGACTGCCCCTCAGCTTGCCACCCACGGGTGCTGTGGGTGCCTATGAGGTTAACGTATTTCCTCTTTCCCCAAATCCAGCACTCTTACTTTCCTGTCTTGCTCACCTGGTTCTGGCTTTCCTCACACCTGACTCACTCCTCAGTCTTCTCTAACAGCAACATGTTCAGACATGTCCCTCCTCCCTCCAGAACACTCCATGGCTCCCTTTCCCCAGATCTGCCCTTCTGGTTTCCCAGTCCCTCCCCACTTTCCTCCTCCAAACACTTACCTCTGTCCTCCCAATCTCAGCTCCTATTCCAAGCCTTTTTCTTGGCATCTTTCTTTCCCAGGCACCCTTTTATCTCCCACATCATGAGATTACAGATGACTTTATTTTTTTTCTGTTGGTTTTTCTCGGTGTTCTCATTTTTTAAAAATAATGCTTTGCTTATGTATTGCTTTTAGTAATTAATTAAAAAATCCAAGTTCATTTTTAATTAGAAAATCTCTCTCTCTCTCTCACACACACACACACACACACACATACACAGTGTTTATAATCATTTGTCCACCAAAGAATTCAGGGATCTGAATTTATAATTTAAGTCCCTCAAGAAGATGGCTGCAGGTCTGCATTCAGTAACTCTCTATGTTGTGTGTCTTTCTCTAAACTTGTGAGCACATTCACACAGAACACAGATACCTAGGACTTGTTGAACCTTGTTAGTTTCTCAACGGGTCACCCCAGATATTTCAAAGATTTAGATTTTTATGAAGATGGGCCTCTCTGGCCTATTCTAAGGAAATTAGATCATAACTATGCCCTTGGTAGTTTCAGGAGATTGGAAGCAATGGGCTGGCCACAGCCGTGCCTTGCACGTGGTTGGCTTTGGGTTTTCTCTTGGCTGTTTCGTTTTCAGCTGTCTGCAAGCTCTGCAAGGGCTGTGAGCCTTGTACCTCAGCTGGGTCTGGGCCCTGAAGAGTCTGGAATCATCAGGAAAGCAATTATGTGGTTTTACTCGATTTTCAAACATGAAGGAGGGTTCAAAGTTGAGTTTCGCCGTCTAGAAGAGAAATAAATTACATTGCATTGGAAGAGCTAACATAAGATAGAGAATCTGTATGTTCACAGAACTTTCTTGCCCATTTTTTGAGAGACTGTTGTTATTCATTTGCTGATTTTGCAGTGTTTTGAGTAGATTATCTCCCTGGTCATTTTAAAGCCCTGGCGGCCTGGTTCCCCCCCCCCCTCCCGGGGCAGAGTGTGAACAAATTCAGAAGCCTCAGAGAACAACAAAGAACCTGACACTCCTACCCCAACTGGGGGAGACCAGAGCAAAATGCTGAAAGAAAAAGTATTTTTTTTCTTCAAAATCCTTATTTTGAGCAGCTATGCCCCTTGAGTATGAATGCTTCTTCCCAACACTGAGGTGGTATCTGGAGTGTTAATCTTTTCCACACCAGAACTTGATGATTCAAGAACATTCCAACATAGCTCTCAAGCCTCCCTTTCCTCATCTGTAAGATGGGGTGATGCCTACCTCACATGGCAGTTGTAAGAATGAAGAGGATTACGTGGATTAACAAGTGAGGTTTGGGTAAAGCACCCAGTCCAGAATCTGGCTTGTGGGTACTCGATCAGTGGTAGCACAATGATGATGAAAATGAGTCAGCTATGGCCTTGCGGTGGGGAAACGCTCTAGGGCCTGGTCACATTCAGTCAGAACCTAATTTCACGTGGTCTGCCTGTGGGGCGGGTTTAACCCTGTGGTTATGGGGCAGGGTTGGGGGAGGTTGGAAATGTTACTGATTTATTTTTCCATACATACAACCTATTTACATTTACAAAAGTAATTAAGCATTCCTGAAGATGAGAACACTGGGCAGTTTGGCTGCCCAGACTGCCGCCATGCTGATCTGGGTGGCGGGGAGGGAAGGTAGGGGCATCAGAGGAAGGCTCTTGGGCCAGGAAGCACTGATGCTCAGGTCCCCGGAAGTGCTGGCTTCTCTGACTCAAGTGGCCATTTTCAGAAATAAAGGCAGTCCCCTAAGGCATTAAGGTACCTTGAAATTGGAGTGTCTGGCTGCGCATGGGAGCACCCTTCTGTGAGGCTCTGTGTGGCTTGAAAATTTGAGCGGGGTGGGGGGCCGGGGGGCGGTTAAATCTTGTCATTCCCTCTTCAGAGCTGCGGTGCTAACTGCAAATACTCCTGGGAGAATTAGCATGACAGTCACCTCTGATATAACTTACTTAGGCAGGATTGATTTGTGGAAGCAGATTTTGAGAGTGGGAAAGATTCTGGGAATTTAATGGGAAGAGCAACGAACTGGAAGAAATACAGCGCTGGGGCCTTCAGAAGGGGAAGGGCCCGAGGCCAAACAAAAGCAAACTTTGCTGCTCCACATTTTGCCTGGGGCTGATCGACTTTCTCTTGAGCAGCTGCTTCTCCCAGTTTGTGTGCAGAAATACTGTCAACACTTTGAAAATGAGCAGCAGGCTACTGCCATTTAAATAAGGATTTCAGGAAGTGAAAAAAAAAGAAACAAAAAAACTAGCTGGAAACTGGAGTGTGGATTTATGATACAAAGTATATAATGATATTAACATGCAGAGTGGCAATTTAGGATTTTATGTTGTGTCCCAAGAACCAGGTATATTTGCTAATTTTGAAAGAGCTGGGGTGGGGGAGGCATCATTCTCCTGCATATTTTAGGGCATAATCACTAATTTCTTGACATTTGTTAGAATTCATAAGATTTGGGAGAAAAAAAATCAGCACAATTTGTTGAAATATTTTGGGAAAAGTGTGACATGACTGTTTTAAATGTTTTTACTAATAATGAAGGCAAAACCACAATAATATTTATGGATCAAAAGCAAGTGTGATGGTTCAAAATTCTTAGAATGGTTATTCTGGGCAGGAAAACTATAGTTATTTTATTCTTTTCCATTTTCTGTAGTTTTGTTTAATTTCAAAGAAAATATCAGTCCTCTATAATGGTAGAATTGCAAATTTGAAATATTTTTTTTTCTTTTTTCTGCAATAGGGTTACATGATGGAAAACCGAATCTCAGGCCTAAAATGCGACACAGATGTGTTTGTGACTTTTGAAGGTGACAATGTTGTTATGCTGCAGGTAAAATTCAGGAAATGTTTATTCTTCTTAAATGGCATACTTTTCAAGATCAAGAGTTATCCAGAAATCTGAAGTGTTTCATATATTTTATCTTCATCTGATGTCTTCATTTCATTGACAGGTGTTTTCCTGTTAAGCACTTGATTTTTGCAGTAGTGGAACAGGGGATTAAATTCTTTCTCTCCTAGCCGATCTTTGACATTGACCTATATCTTTTTTGGTTGAAGAAAACGTCTTCTTGTATCTATTTAATCAGATTCTTCTATTGGGAAGGCCATTCCAAAAGAATACTTGAGGACCCAGAAGATGAACAGGCAAAAGACATGAAAAGGCAGGTTATAATAGGAGGGCAATTGATCAACCTCTCTGGTGATCAGAGACATGCACGTGAGGGCATACTACACTACTGTTTTCTCCATCAAATTGGCTCAAGTTTAAGAGCATATTGAAGTCCCAGTGTTGGTGAGAACAAAAGAGGCAGTCTTCCATGTTGCTATTAGGCTGTGTGATTCCACTTCTGGGACTATCTAAGGTAATAATCCTAAATATGGAAAAACTTTAGGGCACAAACGTTTTCATTAGTACATTATTTATGATAGCAATAATGTTGGAATCTAAATTTTCAACAATAGGAAAATGATTATGTAAATCATGTTCTGGCCACTCAGTGGGGAATTGTATAGCTTTTTAAATTGTACTTACAAAGAGTTCATTACAGAAATTAAAAACTTATGATATGGTAAGTAAAAATGAAATAAAATTGTATATACAATGGGGTCACAATTTGGTGTTTTTACAAAAGAAAAACAGGGACTTGTGGTTCTGCTAAGATGGAACGACCCTATTCCTCCCAGGTCCTCCCTCTTAATAACTGAACACTCTGGACGTAACACAACAAACGAACATAGGAAGACTCTGAAAGGGAGAAAAAGAAGTCAGGCTGCCTAGGGACCTTGGAACTGGAGGAAGGAAAAGGCAGTAAGTTGTCTGGGTTTCCTTATTGCCTTCCATAAATCCTGGAAAAGGGCATATATGTATGCCCTGATTCTCTAATAGGTACAGACAAACTCCAAGAAAAGCCTGTTCTCCCTAGCCAAAACACAGGGAAAATGGTGGCCTAATAACAAAAAAACCTTTCTAGCAATACTCTCTCTCTCCATCAATCAAACAAAATGGAAAAACTGAACACACGCACACACACACACACACACACACACACACACACACACACACCAGTTTCAGCAGGACCTGGCAGGAACTGATCTTTCACCTGACTTCTGATCCATGGAAGTAGTCAGAAGCAGGTAGCAGGTGGTAACATTCCCATTACTCAACCTGGTGCTATTGGTGGGGCCAAGCGGGGAACTGATATTCTATCCCCTGCCTAGTGGCAGCAAGTGGAGCTTAGATTTTTACATCAGGGTTATGTCAGCAGGGCCCATTGGTAAGCTAAGCCTATACCTGTCCTCAGCAGCAACAAGACCCTTTGAAGTGATATAAGGTACAACAAATCACCAGTATGCTTAAATCTTTTCACCCCAGTGTCAGCAGGATCCAGTGAAGAGTTGAACCCCTACCTCCACAATTGGAATGGGGGTCATCAACTAGACTAATCCAGGAGGTATGATAAAAAACAAGAAGACTCAAATAACCAATATTAGGAATGAAAATGGGTATATCACTAGTTATCTTGTAGGAACGATGAAGGAACACTGGAAAATAACTTTACATTAATAAATTTGATGACTTAGTCAAATTGACCAATTCCTCAAAACCACAAATACTCAAATCTAACCAACTTGAATAGTCAACCTGAATAGTCCTATCATCTCACAGAAATTGAATTTTTAATAATAATAAAATGCTTCCCCCAAAGAAATCTCCAGGCAAAGGTTTCATTGGAGAATTCTGTCAGACACTTAAGGAAGAACTTTATGCAATCTCTTCCAGAAAATAAGAGAGAAGGGAACACTTCCCAACTCATTTTTTTATTTTAATTTTAATTTTTTTTAGAGAGAGAGAGTGCATGAGTGGGTGGAGGGACAGAGGGAGAGAGAGAATCTTAAGCAGGCTCCATGCCCAGCATGGAGCCCAATGTGGGACTTGATCTCATGACCCTGAGATCATGACTTGAGCTGAAATCAAGAGTTGAATGTTTAACCAACTGAGCCACCCAGATGCCCCTAATTCATTTTATATAGTTTGTATTACTCTGATACCAAAAGTAGACACTACAAAAAAGGGAAAACTACATATCAATAACTCTCGCAAATTTAGACATAAGAATCTTCAACAACATACTAACAAATGGAATCTGACAGTGTATAAAATGAATTATACACCATAGCCAAATGGTATTTATTCCTGATATGCAAAACTGCTTCAGCATTCAAAAATCAGTTGATATAGTCCATCATATCATCAGACTACAGGAGAAAAAAAATCATATGATCATATTGGTTTACACAGTTAAAGCTTTTGACAAAATGTTGATGTAAAATCTTCAACTTGGTAAAAAGTACCTACAAAAAATATAACTAACATCATGCTTACTGGTAAAATGCAGAATGCTTTCCTCCTAAAAGCAGGATCAAGTCAAGGATGTCCACTGGCACTACTGTTATTCAACATAGAGCTGGAAGTTATATCAGTGCAATAAGGCAAGAAAAAGAAATAAAAGACATAGATATTATAAGGGAAGAAATAAAAATTTTCTTTGTTTGCACATTATGTGGTTATCTACATAGAAAAATCCATGGAGTCTACCCCAAAACTCCTAGAACTGAGTTCAATAAGACTGCAGGATATAAGATCAATACACAAAAATTGATCTCATTTCTGTATACTAATAACAAATGTGAAAACTGAAATTAAATACACAATATCAATTACAATTGTTCCAAAGAAAATGACATACTTAAGTGTAAATCCAATAGACATGCATAGGATCTATTTGCTGAAAATTACAAAATGCTTGAAAGAAATAAAAAAAATCCTAGATAAATGGAGAGACATACTATATTCATCAATTGGATGACTCTGTGTAGGAAAATGTCAATTCTGCCCAAACTGTTCTATAGATTTAATAAAATTTCCATCAAAATCACAACAAAGTTTTCTGTAGACACAGACAAGCTTCTTCTAAGACATCATCAAAATGGTGAAATAGGAGTTTTCTGCCATCTTATGCCCAAAGAATGCCAATTCTGATAATCACCCAAGGATGACAGTGCCTTTGTGTAGGTCCAGGAGTCCCGTGAAGTTCCAGCACACTGTTGGAGCAAAAAATAATGAGATTGGATGCATTGAAGAGGGTAAAAGGAACAGTTTCACTTTACCCATGTCAGCCCTCCCTCAAGACAGCACAGCTCAGTGACAAGAGAGATCTTTTGGCATGTGATTTCTCCCACAGGAGAAAGTGAGAGCATGTGAGTGAGCACCCAGCTTCCCCAGCTGTGTGGGACACTGCCCAAGAGGCCCATTTCTTTCTCCTCTCACTCAGATTTCTGAGGTGTGTTGCATGACATGAAGTGTACAGAGCAGCTGGGAGAATAGCAGCCAGGGCTCTCAGAAGACAGTGATTGGACATGGATCCTGCTACCTACTTTGCAGACTCCTTCAGGAAACCCACTTATGAGCGCCTGGGGACACCTCACCTACAGATCCTCCATGTTGGTCCACAGGCACCCACAATACTCTCTATGCCTCAGTCACACACGTCACTACTCCATGAGCGGTTATCAGTATACACTCCCAAGGGCAGCGAGAGCTAGCCTTCGCAGACAGCTCATGAGCACATAAAGAAAGCCAACCCGCCTCTGTGGGATTGGAAGAAAGCGAACAAACTTGAGCATTCAGTACCACCCTAGGGGAAGTAAACAAGAAGCTGCAAGCACTGATCCTGGTTTTGCAGGATCAAAAGAAGTTATACAATCTTAAGAACTATTCCCTAAGAGGGAATAAGAATTGTGGAACATGTGTATCCACTGAAGGTCTGAGAAAGCCTCAGAATTCATACAGGGCTGATGGAAAGCATTTCTCTCCCAAAGCCAGTCAGTAAAGACTAGAGGAGGTGACTGCTTCTTCAAATGTGAAGACAGCAATGCCAGACTTCACAGAACATGAGATATGAAGGGGACATGACACCACCAAAGGGAAATAATGATTTTCTAGTAACTGATCCCAAAGAAATGGAGATCTGCAATTTTCCCAATAAACAATTCAAAATAGTTGTTTTAAGGAAGCTCAGGGAGCTACAAGGAACACAGAAAGATAATTCAATAAAAGCAGGAAAGCAATACATGAAAAGAATGAGAACTTTCACAAAGAAATAGAAATCATTAAAAAGAATCAAATAAGGGTGCCTGGGTGACTCAGTCAGTTGGGCGTTTGCCTTTGGCTCTGGTCATGATCTCAGGGTCCTGGGATCAAGCCCCACATCGGACTCCCTGCTCAGTGGGGAGCCTGCTTCTCCCTCTCCCCACTGTTCGTGCTCTCTCTCTTGCTATTTCTCTCTCTCTCAAATAAATAAAATCTTAAAAAAAGAATCAAATAGGAATTATGAAGTTGAGGAGTACATTGAGTGAAATGAAAGATGCAATAGAGAACATCAATAGCAAACCTGATCGAGCAGAAAATGAATTTGTGAAGGTCATTTGGAATTATCCAGTCAGAGGACAACAAAGAAAAAAAAAAGAAGGAAAAAGAGTGAAGAAAGCCTTCATGAACTATGGAACACCATTAAGAAAAGCAATCTATGCGTATTGGAATCTCAGAAGGAGAAGAGAGGGAGAAAGGGTTGGAAAGTTTATTAAAGAAATAATGGTTGAGAATGTCCTGACTCGGGAGAGATTTGGATATCCAAATTCATGAAGCTCATAAGTCCTCCAAGGCTTTCTTTTCAACTCAAAAAGATCTTCTTCAATGTACATTATAACAAAACAGTCTAAAATAAAAGACAAAGAATTTTAAAAACAGCAAGAGAAAAAAATTCCTCAAGT